ATGGAAGTTACGTGACATATATAAGTCAACATTGAATTCTGGTCTTACACAGGACAGCAACAGCAACCTCCTGGGTGAAAGTCTAGTGTTTTTTTGACCAACCACAACCTCCTCTCTGTGTGTCACTCTTTGTACGACATCACCCTTCCTGGCTCCTGATCACGTGAAGAACATGATAAAGACTCAGAACTCGAACATTTTGCAATTCCTACAAGAGAATTTACAATGAGACACGACTCAAAGTGAGAGTTCTAGTATTTAATTAAAATGATACATGCTATCATATAGCAAAACCTGTTCTACATGTCAATCAATGTGAAAATATGTCGCCATATTATTAGGTTAATGGTTACGGTAAACATTTTCTGAAAGTTATCTTCTCTGCACAAAAATAATTTGGGAAAATGTTAAAAATGGCCCAAAAACGTGAAGGCTGCACTGCTGAGTGATCGATTGTGTGCATACCTGCCGGTCAGCCATTGTTTTTATTCACGTTTGGCGTTGTTGTCGAAATGCTTCGAGGTTGAAAGTTGGAAATTTCAACTGGGAAAATTCCGACCTCAGAGTTGTCTGGAATAAAGCATTTTATATCCATTACAGTTCATTACTTTTTGTGGATTTAAGCTACGAATTTGAACGGCCACATTTTACTTTCTTCTGGCTCCTTCACAGCTTTTGATGTTGTTAGTAGCTGTGAATGTGTTTTTTGCCACATTTTGTTTGTCCTTTCCTTCAATTTGCTCTTTTTAAAAGTGTCCTTATTATAAGTTAATTGTCATATACACGATATTTGTCCTCTGCATTTAACCCATCCCTAGCTTATTGGGAGCAGTGGGCTGCTGAGAAGCGCCCGGGGCTCCAGACAGTTGGAGCTTACCAGATCAGGTGTTCACATGTCAGGTAAGTTGCTGATTGCTGAACGAATGTGATTTTCAAAACAATCTCCAGTGATAGTCTGAACTTTCTGGCACTTGCTGCTTTATTTTATGCATCAAACCCCAAAATCTGGCTCTTATTTAGACAAAAACAAGCATTAAAAGTACTGTCGGATCATATTTGACTATGAGGATAAAGTGGTGCAATGCATCCGTTCATTTGTCATCCTACAATTGTGGCATCTATTCTCAAAAAATCGTTGCTGTGTCCTGATATTTCTATTACTGGAAAAAGGCGTCACAACCTAAAAATTTGGCCTTGATAGAATCAAACGGCTTCTGCCCATTGGTGGGAAAGTGGTGATTAATTGTGTCGTAGCCCTGTGAGAAAGTACGCCCAGCGCAAAGCACTAATTATGGGCCCTGCCTGGCCGAGAGAAAAGGGGGCAAAAACTCTCAACAAAGGCTCATCTCATATCTCAAGACAATGAGGAGCCAAAAGAATAGGAGAAAGGAGAAGTTAATGAGCTGTGTCACCTGGCATCTGTTGATGCTGCCTGGGACAAGGCCTGACTGGTGTGTTTGTGTACACGAGGGAGAGAGTGATGAAGTGGTTATGCATGTTTACATGTGGTTCATCACTGCGTGTCCCTTTTTCTTCCTGCAACGTTACAGACTGGACAGTGATGCAGGGAAAAGTCATAACTCAAAGGTGAGAATAAAAAATGATGAGGAAAGTTTTTTTGATTTTGTCCCCATCTTTTGTGCCATGTGATCACCATGTCTTTTCATCTTACCTATAGGGCTTTTTATCAATGTAGACGTCTAGTTTGAGTTGCCTGCCTTCTCAAATGGAACTAGATCGGCTTGGTGCTGAAAGCGCCAAAAAAAACCTCAACAACAATGTCTCTTTCCACAAATCATGACCCGGTTACTCGAGATAATCCACAGACATTGTTGTGAGCAGTTAGATGTAGGAACTATTTTCTTTCTACCAAACTACATCCGCCAACGGTATCACCGCGCCGAAGACAACATGCATATTTACTCAACACCTATAGCACCACTGAGCTAGCACACAACGCCTTTAATGTCAGGACCCCTCCTCCATGAGTAGCTGCCTTCTAGGCGGTGATAAGGCTGGAGGGTGTAGTTCGGTAGAAAGAAAATAGTTCCTTTGTGACACTGCTTACAACAAGCTCTGTGGATTATCTTCAATAACCGGGTCATAATTTCTGGAAAGAGACATTGCTGTTAAGTTGTTTTTATTTGAACTGTCCCTTAAATAACTTTATATATATATATTTATACATACATACATACATACATACATCAATGTTCTGCTTGTCTTTTCTTTGTATGTGCAGCCATAGTGGGTGACTGCCCATTCTGAGATAAAGAAGTATGAATATTCAGTCTTTGTGTCAGAGGTTTGCAGAAGTTTCAAATTTCCCTTTGCTGTCACAGCTGCTACAACTAACGCTGCACTTATTATAAGTAGATTGGAAGCATCAAATCCAAGGAAATTTCAATGCAGATGCAAATTCTCGGTGAAGCCAAAGTCAAACTTTTCAGTTATGGAGGTGATTATACTTTCTATTGATGTGATCAAACACATTATTGATTGGGGCTTTAACCGTCGGCTCTACAATCTAACATTGAGTTAAATGGAATATTGCTGAGACACTAAACCTACCCACCTTTATTTTGACCCATATTCATAACACGCCGGCGGCCACATGTTGTTCTGATGAGAACACAGAAGAGGTCTGGCTTTCCAGAAACTGTATGTACAGTAAGCACATTTGTAATCCTGTAAAAACACAACTCAGCCATGTGTTCAGAAATACTTTGTGAGATCCAGAGGGGAAACACTCTGTGATGCTCAGTCATAAAAGGCAACCAGTCGACTGTGGTTGAGCATTTAGCACGAGTTAGAAGGGCGGCAGCAGCGTTCCTGTTTTGACAGTAAATGACGTGACGTGAAACTGCATTTAATGACATGAGGTATATTACAGCTCAAACTCTGTTTTCTGTTTTGTTTGGCGTTGGACGTTTGTTTTTTAACTGACCTTGAGGGACAATTTCAGAGATATTCAGAGAGACAAAGTTTGTTTCATGTCTCAAACAGAACACATTTCTGTTGACAGGGCTAATTGTAAAGTGTGTGGTTGCTGATCTCGAGGCCAAAGAACCACTTTTGGTCGTTCCACTGAAATTTGTATAACTTACGCAGAACCACAAGGTTTTTCTCTACATTGACGCTGCTTTCTTGTCATACTGTATCCATTGTGCACAGTTTGAGCAGGCTGAGATTTTCTAATAATAGAATATAAACTACTTGGCAATGAACGATTCCACCTCCTCCTGAAAAGGGGCTGGGCTTTGCAAAAAAGGGAATCCTATGTTTCATTTTGAAGTTATTGGTCCAGTTCCAAGACCATCTAGCCTCCAATGATCAAAGGTTGAGTCAGAGAAAAGCCTAGCGGGAGGCTTATGCAAAATGTCGTCTCCTTATTGCGAATCGGCCGACACGTTGGAAACCATCGGCGCTCGTTTAAATGTCAATATACCCAGATGCAGTTTGGCTGTGCTTGGTCAAGTTTGAAGTATGTGGATGAAAAAAAAAAAAGAAGAAAAGCTTCTCACTCGCATTAATAGAATTTGGAGGGTTTCGAAAGTTGCATTGATTAAATTCCTCGACGGAGGCCGATTTTTAACTCCTAGTATTTCAGAACACTAAATATCTGTAGACGGTGATGCACAAGACAAAACTTTAGCAACTCTTATGGAAAACAGTGTCCTAAAAGTAATTATTTCTACCTTATTACCTTGTGACGAGGACACAATTAATAAAAAATACTAATTGAGAGGAAAGGAAGATTTGCTCCAACAAATGGCACACGGGTGAGAATATGTATTAAATGTCTTATACAGAGGAGATAAACAGTTGAAAGAGATCGTGACAAGATGAAGGGACATTCCTGGACATCCTGCAGTCATCTCAGCTACTTCTCCCACCGCTCCCCCTCCCCAGACGTGCAGGACCGTCCGTGCTGATTCATTATGTTAATGGTGAATTACTGGGTCAGACATCAAGCACTATGTTTCCACCTTTTAAAAGCAGACCAGACGTCCAAAATCCCATGACAGAGCGGGGGACTTCTGGGTCCGTTGGAGGTAACTACCGGAGTGGAGGGGGCTGATAGCATCGCAAGGAATTTAAACAAAAGTATTTTTTTTTTTCTCCCTCAAAGCCGCCATCTTTCAGTCTGACGGTTACTGTAAACATCATTCCAGCACACAGCATTATAAGACATGCTACTCCACATTCCTTTCGCACTTTTTAAAAGATGGAAAAATGTCTAAAATATTGTGTGTTTACGGGTCTGGAGGACGGATCTTGTACATGAAAGTGAGTTGTTTTAAGTGCTCAAAAGGTCAGCGAGGGTACATCTCAGATCATCCTCTTGAATCTCAACAAGTAATATGAATCTTATTTTTGGGGGTTGTGATTTTTTTTTCTCAAGTCAGCAGTGATGTGGTTAATGATGCAATATTTAATCCCATTTTATTCATACATGTTTATCTAAAAAAAAAAAAAAGAAGTAAAACAAAGTTTCACTTTCTTTGCCAAAAATACTTTTTATAAATATGTAATAATATCGATATTTAAAAACAGCACAAGCTGTCCTTTTGCAGGGATATAAAAAGCCTTCAGAGATGTTGCAATAGGCCTTTCTCAATTTGCAAACCCCTGACCTTAAAAGCAGTCCTCACACTTTGGGTTTGTATATATAAATGCATACCTTGGCAGTATGCAGAGAAGGGAATGTACTCTATGTCCAACCAATCGCTACCTGCAGAATTGCTATTTTAGGCAGCACGATATTCAACGTGCACATCAGAAGAATTCCGGTCTGAACAGGGACATAAAGGCGCTTTACTCCACAGTGCAATAAAGACGTAGAATAGTTCCTTTTTAAAATATAGTCCTCATTTTATTAACAGAGGCCAAATAAAACTCATCACATTTTATTTACAAAGGGAGGCAATAAATATCTTAATAATAGTCATAAAATTATTTTTGCTTACATTTGTTTAAAAAAAAAAAAAAAAAGAAATCATAAATGTGTCATGTTGTTAGTAGCGACTCATACAAAAACCTGCCAGCGGACAGGTGAATACATACTACAGGTGAAAAGAGGCTGGAGTTGGTCGTCAGTGAGAGAAGGAATGATTGAAGCAGAGACTTTTCCCTTTTTACGATTCAGACACAAACTCATGTCGTTGAAAATGTTCCCACAATCCTGGACAAGTTGCTCATCTGGGTTTCTGGGGAGAAGTCTTTAATTGTCAAAAATGTGGATTCATGAAGTGATCAGGGGTCGTCAGAGCGACAGCATTCCTGTCTGTGGATCACTGATCTGGAAAAAAGCACAGGGATAAGCTTTCTCCAGAAAAGCATCTTTGAGACTTTCATCCAGTGACAGTGAAAGGAGCGAAGATGAGCTCACAGTCAAAAGATGATTTTGGAAGAAAGAAAAAAAACAAAAAAAAACAGAAGAGCTCAGTTCAGCTCAGCGTCGAGTCGACTGAAAGGTTCTTGAGATTAACTGAACACAGACAGTCAGACTAGCTGAAGATAAACAAAGAAGAACAAGGAGGTAGAGGAAGTCTTCATCACCCGCCCCGAAATATCAGCGAGCTCACACTCAGAAGGATGAAGGCATCCTTTTCTGGAGCGACTTTAACAGGCGTGAGGAAGAGCTTTTAAAAAAAACACAAAACCCAAGGGGACACGAGAGGGATTAACATCCGTCTCCCAAATGTGATGAAGCTGGAAGACTTTTGTGGAATTATGAATCACATGAGCTGTAATATTTTTGCTTGTATTGTTTTCTTTTTCTAGGGCTGGTGCCCGACTAGTCAAAGCATGTCGTGTTTTTAGCTGAATCACACGCTGCATGGAAACGTCAAGGAAATCACACACAGTACTCGGAGGCTTCGACGCATTCCCGGAGCCACGAGTGGAGCTGAGAGACATATGGAAAAAAAAAAGAGAGAGAGGAAGAGAAAGAGAGAGACCTGTAAAATATTGCACTCAAAGCTACACAGTTATCCCAGCAGCACAGTGTCACTTGCGACTGCCACCTCAGTCCGTTTCATCTCCATGGCGTCTGGTTCCAGTGGAAAGTATGGGATCCTCGTTGTCAGGTGGCAACACAAACAAAAGCCGACAGGTATTCCAATAAATCTCTAGTTGGCTGATTTTTATAACGTTGCGTCAGCTCCACGCTTCAGCCCCCATTGTCAAAAAGAAAGTAAGGCCTTCAGCCTGCAGTTCAAACGTCGCTGAGGACGACGGCGACAGGAATTCTCTCAGAGGTCCTTTAGTTTATCCAGTATAAATAACATGACGGACACGTTAGCACAATGACATCAACCCAGAAGAATCCAAGAGTTAGGAAATATTCAGTCATCCTGAAATACAAAAATAAAACATCTTTGACTTTTTTTTTTTGTTCTTTTTGTCCGTCTTACTTTTACAGAAGTGAAGTCTTTAAGGTGATTCTTTTAAGACAAGAAGCTTGAGATTTTCAGTTACAGTTTTAGTTTTTGTTTTGTCCCCCTCTCCCCCTCCCCCGAGGACAATTAGTGCTGTCCCATTGGTCCCCATCAGTTCTTCTTGGAGTTGGGTTTTAATCGTCGAGCCCTCCGTGTCCGCTTAGTCACTGTGGTGAAACGAAACTCCTCCAGCGGGTCCGGCCTGCCCTTCGGCTGGCGCTTCATGAAGTGGACTTCCTGTTGCCTCTGCGTGGTCCGCGAGCCTTTCTTGGGCCGCCCCTTCCTGTTGAAGCCGAGGTACCATCCTTTGTACTTGGCCGACACGAGAGCCGTGTAGTTGTTCTCCAGGAATTCCTCGACAAAGACGCACTCCTGCTTCCTTCCATCGGGCTGAGAGAAGGGAAAAGAAATAGGACGTTAATTCACTTGTAACAGCAGCGTGACCTCTTTTCCAGCGAACAGTCTGGCTCATCTCCATTTAATCAGTGTGTTCGGGCTCAGGATGGTTTGCTTTTCTGTCTGAGTTTTGTATTTTCAGGTTTAGTGTGAAACAGAATACAATTATGTGTTAAGAACATGTTTTTTAAAGGTAAGCTAACAGATACATTTAGATTGAAAATAAAAACTGTTTAGTAGAAAAGGTCTTCTCATGAGTTAACACTAAACTAAGGTTAGATGTCTTCACTTTAACATGACTAGTGCCCTCACCTGCACACATTTACTCTCTACTGCACTACTGTAATATGAAACTACTTCCTGTCTGGTTGCTCCTTTTCACACTTGTTCACTAAAGTATCACAGGTACCACATTACAATGGTTGTAGTGGTTGTAAAAGAATAATTTGACATTGTAGGTTCCATGTCTGCATGTTAAATATGTAGCGAGAGCCAGGAGACGACTAGCTTAGCTTAGCATAAAGACTGGCTTCATAGTTAACTGAATGCTAAAAGATTCTCATCTTACTCTCAGCAAGAAAGTGAACCTTCCAAAATGTCAAACTATTGCTTTTAAGTAACTGAGCTACAAATTCATTAAAAAATTTGTAGCTCATGCTTATATTCGTCAACATGCTGGTGACGAATATAAAAAAAGTTAAATTCTGATGGAAATCTAGAGGATTTTCACACCAAATTTGAACTTTTGAAATAGGGTGGCAGTAAATATCTCAGAATAAAAGATGGACCCATAAAAAATAAACAATTTGCATATAAAATAGGGTTAAGTCAGAAAATCTTTTTTATTCATAATTTGGGTGAAAAGACACCAGTTTCCAGTTCAACTTATTTGTTATTATTAAGGAAGCTGAACACCACCAGCGATCAATAATTCAACGTTGTCTTGTCCGATTGTTAAAATAATCCTTTGATGGTTTAAAGGAGGAAGTCAAAGACCATTCTTTTAAAGAAATGAAGCCCCAGCAACTAAAACAACATAGAAAATGCATGTTTCTAACAGACGACCTTGATGAGAGAGTGAAAACGTGTGTGTGTGAATTGCTGCAGCCCCTCCGATGCCGACAGAGTGAGTTATTAAATGCAACACGGTGACGCGTGTGCCTCCACAGTGAGCGTTTTCAAACATCGACTTCCTTTTCCATATCGAGAGCGGCCGTCCGCAGAGTCGCATGCAGTCATCCCGCGCTTTGTGGCCACCTGGTGTGACTAAGTGATATAATTGCAATGGCATTCCTCCTAAGTGACCATTAGTCTCTCAATGCATTGTGGTGATTGCAGTCCGTAATTGACTGATCGGGTGTCAAAGGAGTAGGCCGATTACGTAATGGAAGAAGGGCTGCGAGTTATCAAAGGGGTTTTGTTAGGGTGTACAGAAACAGCAGGAGAAAGCAGATCTGAGGCTGCGTTCAAGACAGCCGGGATTAAGAGCTCCCTTTAAAATATTAAAATATTCATTTTGATATTAGAAAGAGCAACTTTTATTCTTGTCAGTGAAAATAATGAGCTTACTTTTTTTTAAAATAATATTCCTAAAATGAAATCCAAAAGATACTCACCCTTCCGACTATCTTGCCCTTCTCGTTCATGCAAATGTAATGTTCGCTCTCTTTTCCTTTTATTCGAATGTGGCTCCCGAAGGTTTCCGTCTCGACCACGAGGAGAGCTGGAATAGAGAAGGAAAAGAAGACTCTGTTAAGGGCAAGTCTTTCCACTCGCATCCGCGAGCTTCAATAAGGACCCCCGTACATTTAGACAATACTTTTTCTCGCTAATGGTCAACAATGTCCTGTACTTTTATTCAATACTCAATTTTTTGGAGTTCCCACATATTGAAGACATAAAAATGATCGTGTTTAATTTAACTATTAAGTTGCTATATTTCTTCATATACCACCACAAAACAGTCAACCCCCAATATTAGTTGTACCAGAGGTTAGATTGCCTTGAATCACATCAAGCATTACGGGAAATCATTTATTTGAACAGCTGAAAACACTCGAGGCTATAACATCTATACTCCAGAGCACATAGTTCTGTTTTTAAGGTATATTGAGTGTATAACTTTCTTTACACAATACCATATATGAACCAAAACAACAATGCCACCGCCACTTCAGCCTGACACAGCAGTAATCCACTCTCGAGACGCATCCCGGCGGCTCTTTTATCCCCCCCTCCCCACCTCCCCACCTCCAAAATGTTAACCCCTGCGAGGTCACCTTTGTCTCTGCTCGCCCCTCGACCAGCAAAGAGATCTGCCAAACATTTGTGCAGCGGTTATGTGCCCCTCAGGATTAGGTTTCAAGTTCCCTTTAGTCTGTGCTCACTCAATCAAAAAGTTAAGATGATCCATTTGTTTAACACACAGGGCCATTCAGTGGCGCTCAAGGGAGCAGAGGAAGAATAGGCGAAGGGGACGGGACGGGCTCGAGGGCAGAAGTAACCCCCCCCCTCCTCCTCCTCCTCCTCCCTCCCCCTAAAATCCAACCTTGGGAGGAAAGGGGGAAGAAGAAAACCTCTCTCAAAAAGGTGAAACTTTAGAAGTTATTCTTTCTCTTCTTTTGAGAGATTTCCGATTGTACATCCAGACCAGTCTGGACCCTTTGGAGTCCTTGCGAAGGGAAAATTAATGTGAATGATGTTTAAAAAGATACGTCAGCTCTGCAAGTCAAATCAGGAGTCATTTGACAACACTTTGGCCTTCTCACTCTTTGCTGGTTTTGCACGGAGACCCAAAAATTCAACCTCAGCTATGAAGCCTCGACCGAGAACATCAGATAAAACAACATTTTCCTCCCCACTGTAAGTTAAATAACAAAGAAATGGAGTAATTTCATTTTATCTGAACAGCATCCACAAGCAAATATCTTCAGGAGTCAGTGAGTGGTCACCGTGATGTTTTGTATATTAACACTGTGTGTTTCTTTAAACAATTCTCAGGCTCGGGACTCTGCTGGCAGCCATAGCTGGCATATAAAATGAAGGAATTCTGACAGAAATGTTTGAATATCTGATCAATGCATTCATTAAATACCACTTGCAGTGATCTCTTAACCAGTGAAGTGTTTTCTTCCTCGGGGCGGTATAAATAATGAGGGGCCACAGGCTTTTATTAACCTCAGCATGGGGGTCATCTGTCAAAATAGCTGAAACTCCTGCTTTAATTCCATGTTGCAGCATTTATCAGTTTAAAAGCCTTTGCAGTGACCCACCGTCTGCTCCGAGTGGACAACAGGCATCATTTACGACAGATTGTTCTGGAAAAGGATTGTTCTAGTCTCTTAAAAGTAATGAATATGCTACGCTAATACCTAAGAAGAATGATAACGCCCGCTCTTTGACTGTGCTGATACGGACTTAGCGGACATAAAGCTCTACATCCAAGCAATATATTTCTTTTGTGGTGGTTTGTTGCGCTCCGCCGTGAAGCTGCAGTGACTGAGAGTGGATCAGAGTGTCTTCCTGAGCGTTATTAGAGAGTGCAAAGGAGTTCACAGGTGCCAGGTACTGCAGCTGGATGGGGAGGAGGAGGAGGAGGAAGAAGAGGAGGAGGAGGCGCGGGACGGGAGAAGGAGGAGGAGGGGCGGAGGGGAGAATTGGCAAGGCCTCATGGGAAAAATTGGATCTGCTTCCACTCAAGCTCTAACAAGCAGTGAGGAAACTTCGCCTAGGCGCATCTGTGACTGAACACACTAACTCAGAGGCATTCAAGACCCGCAATTTCAGAGCCGTGAGTCAGCTGTTGTGAGCAAAATACCTGCAGGAAAGCACAAAACAAGTCCTGTTGTTTGTGCCGCCGCATCAAAGGGCGCTTCACTGACCGTCGATTTACTCATCCGCCGTGTTGTTTTTGATTTGAAATTGTCAACAAGGCCACACAGAGATGTTATATGTAAGGTTGATAGGAGCATAGCTGAAAATAGATAAAACGGAATCTTTAAAATGATCACTGTGTAGTTTAGGAAATGAAACATCGTAAATTTAACTTTCTCTTGCCCTTTCAAGTTCAAGGACAATGCCGTTGAGACTTCACCAATTTTCATTTCCAAATATGGGTGCATATGAAGTGAAAAACACCCACATTTACAGATAAATTAAGAGACAGTGAAGTTGAGTAAAACCACAGAGTTTTATCCTACATGACCTTAAAAGCTCACAACCGAAAACAGTAAAGATATATATATATATATATATATATATAATATTTTGCAGCATGGCAAACCAACCAGTCAGTTTTGGTCCATATTAGTCATTCTGTCAAAAATTCACACCGTTGGCCTACAAATCCATCGAGGTAAACATAGACTTGCTCTGGATACCCAGATGCTACAGTAAACATCAATTGCAAGGTCAGCAATTTCATAATGTTTCCAGCCCAACCAGTACTTGGTGGCTTACAAAAGTCACCGTCCACTTTGTCCAAGCCAAACACAGAGTATGGAAAACAACCTCCACACAATGGTTAGTAAACAGCCAAAGTGAGGAGTGAGGGAAAGAAAATCTAAAGAAGCACCAACATCTGGCAGGAAGGTGGCGGTGATTTCTCATCCTCTTATAACAAACTGGCTAACGTGTCGGGTGAGATGCACAGGAGTTCTCCCATACCATACTTGCCCCCATCATCTCCGTTGGCGTTGACTTTCTTCCCCAAGATCTGGACGTGTTTGCCTGTGGTTCTGCTGTAGAGCTGGTAGATCCGGACCTGCTTGCGGCTCAGGTCGTCCGGGTTCCTCGTGTGGTTCTCGATGTAAAACCTGAAATCGGCAGTGGTCTGCTGGGATTCCTGCACGGAGGTGTGAGACAGGAGGAAAGAAAAAGAGAGAGAGAGAGAGAGAGAGAGACGGAAAGACAAGACAGTGAGAGATCATCACGGTACAAGTGTTGATAGTGATGTGTGCTGTTGCTTTTATGGGCCCTGTGTCAAGAAAACATTGTGCCTCCAGGGCTCAAAACCGAGATACCAACCGGGAAATTGTGACTGCTGCATTTTAGTGTTTTCTCTTCTCGCTTTTAACTGGCACATTTTACATGCGTTGCATTTACAAGCTGATAACTACTTACAAGGTGCGTTAATGAAGTCACCGTAACCCCCAGAACAAGTGCAAAGCCTGTAGTGCAGCCTTCTGTTGCTTCACATTGAGACAGCCGTATGCTTGTGCCCCCGGCGATATTGAGAAACCTTTACTCCATTTCCACAAGCAAGCAAGCCACTAGCAATTATACACCTGAAGCATCCAGACCTGTTGCACTATCATCAAACAAATATCTGCCTGCAGGCCAAGAAGGGTCCATAAATTAGGAAACACAGCAGGAGGAAAGACAAGATTGAGAGGTGGCAAGAGGCACCTTGAACCACAAAAACACTCTTGTAGGAGGAGCTTCTGATCAAATCGTCCGAATCCACCTTTCAGAATTCACTCGCCGGCTGTTTACGAGTCATCGTAAACCATGAAAAATAGAGGAAATAGAGGAAATCGCAGAAGACGACGGCACGTCAGGAGAGCAACCGTGTCACCCGACACGTGGAAGTGCGAGAGGAAACGTATACTTTCAGAAGCCCTGGAATCTCAGTTCACGCCAAGATCCCATTTCCCCAGCTGTATGGTGTAGTAATTGCACAGTAATGGCTTTTTATGCGACTGTTCTCAGGTGGCTAATTATATACACATTACATACCCAGAGTCCTTGTTATTCTAACTTCAGTGAATTAACGACATGTAGCAAACATGATGGGAAGCTGTGGCTTTGGGAGAACAAATTCTTAAACTAAGAGAGATGTGCCATACAATAATCCTTAGAAGAACAATGTCCACGAAGATGAGTCCTTCATGTTGGAGCTATGCCGCGCCCCACCAGCAATAGTTTGGATGTCAACTTCTAACGTCATCTCAAGGATTTTTCCTCTCAAATGCCCAATAGATTGTGAGACATCGGCAGCATTTCTGGGCGGAAGGACTTGTTGGCTCATCATGACGTATTCGGTCTAGAAATGTGGCCCTCGGAGGATCCAGCCCCCCGAACTGGGACACAGCTTCTGTATCTTGACATTTAGGAAACACGCCCATAATGTTACTTTTGGCTTCAGGCGGTGTGGAAAATGAGAGGCTGGATATCGAAATGCATAACCTACTGATGCAACTCATTAATATTGACTGCAAGGCATCAAAACCTAAGAACTATGATGACTTTATATCACGCAATAGGATTTTTATTAGGGTTTTTTTTTATGGCCAGTAAGCTTCTCCTTAAAATAAAAGTATCAAAATGAGTTGTTGCTCCATTGGCTCATTCTTTAACCCCAATTAGGTCACTCTAATTCCTCCTTTATTCTAAGGAAGTATTCCAACATGCAACACAACCTGCATGAAAATACTCAGCCTTGACAACCATGATGTTACATTGTCCTCAAACATGTTTTTTTGGGCTACAGTAAAAAAAAAAATAAAAATAAAAATCAAGATCAGTACTTTGTGGAGCCCTAAAAAGATCACCTTATACCTATAGTCGCCCTCAACCAGGTCCTTAATCCTATAAACTCAGACCAGGACAACCAGGCCTCAACCAGGAGATTTACAGTTTCACTGAGGCACATTAACATCAGACCAGGGAACTGTTAACCCAATGCAACCTGTTCAATTCAAGGATTTGTCATTTCAACACACCAGTGTTCAGAACAACTGACATCTGTGTTACCTCACAGGTAACTTAAACTGTATTTTTATCGTCACATACATTAAACTTGACCTCTGCATTTAACCCATCCTCAGCTTTTAGGAGCAGTGGGACGCTGTAACTCGGGGTTCAGTGTCTCGCTAAAGGACACTGTTCAACATGTGGACAGGAGAAGCCGGGGATCGAACCCACTCTTACCCCTGAGACACAGCCGCCCCGCCCCGTCAATAAATGCACATAGACAAAATGTGCCAGACTACATTTACTGTATATTGAAATTAAAGAGATGTTCTTGGTTAAACCTTTTAAACTTCTGCTCCAGAGACTCACGGAAGCTTTCACATTTGATGCTCTAAAACATTTAGCGTTTATTAAATGCTCCCAAGGGAAGATCCAGAAAATGATGCATTTAAAAGCTGAGCAGCTAGCATGAGCGGCAGCAGCAGCCACACCGGCTGAACAAACAAAGACAAAAGCAGCACCTACAGCACTTTTCATCCAAGGAAAAAGGCTCTAAACATATGACTGACAAGTTATTACCGGCCTTCACAGAGCACGACTAGAGCGCTTGGAACCAAAGATACTACAAAAAAAAAAGGAAAGACGCTGGATTACTACTACATGCCGGTATAAAATTAAACATTCATGCAACAGCAAAGTGCTCATCCAGAACTGCACACAAATGTGTTGAAAATGATGCGTCCATTTCAAAAGCCGAACATCAGCATTTGTCAACTTTCTCTCAAAATGAACCTCAAAGCTGACGAGCAAGAAAAGGAACAAAAAAAAAAAAAACCTGAACACACAACATAACTTGGCCTAACCGGGCTGCTGAGGGATTTATCCCAAATCTCCCCATCTCTAAACAAACATAAAGGTGTGTTTGGTAGACAGTTGCATTTTGCATCAAGGGAAAGGCAAGCCTAAGCACATGGCCGGGGTGAATGCTAGCGACAACAGTTTTGTTTTTTTATCACGCTGTCTCCTTTCTTCAAAGACACAGCATGAAAACGGATATGGTTGAAACTTCAAAAGTCTGGCACTCATCTTCACCCAGGAAGCTGAGTTGTCGCATCCATCTAAGATACACCTTGCTATCTGCTTGACACACACAGACAGGGTCACACACACACACACACACACACACACACACACACACACACACACACACACATACACACACACACACACACACACACACAACTAGGGAGAGACACATTCACATGCTGGCAGTGCATTCAAAGTGTACTTCCAACTGTGGTTGCTTCTGTTGTCTTTCCTCATGAAAATCACAACCACAGCATGACACGTAGGAGCCATTAGCCGTGCGTAGCGGCGCTGAGAAGCAGAGTGGGCCAACAACACGGAGAGGCGATGAGAAAAGAGGGCAGTAAAGTGCTATTACTGCATATCTTCAGCTTGATCATTATCCTGGTAGCACTCAAGAGAGCTACGATGCATTTCCTTTGTTCGATAAATGCCTTTATCTAATCTGAATTTTTCTCTAAGCCACAATAAACAAATAAACATGCATATCACATATTAACAAACATAAAACGTCAGTCATTGGTGCACCTCATACGTCTGTTGGGCCACATTCTGCATGAAGTTGATCCTGTCTTACATGTGAGGAGTGGTCAGTCGACACTATGGCTTTGTTTGTGCCAGCTCTGTTGGAATAATCAGAGCACATAGACTTACTGTATATAACTTTGCAGTTTTCTAGTTTTGGGGAGGTTTCAGGTTTTTATATTTTGTCTCTGAGAAATTATTATAAAAAAAAGTTCTCGGTCAGAAAATTTACTTCAGGATTTAGACCTGTTATTTTGTCGCTGAGATACAAACTGGCTACCCGACCAGGACAAGGTGATCCAAGCAGCTCTGAAGAAGTAAAATATCAGAATGGTGCAACCAATAAAATGTATTTTATATAGTCTACAAACTATTTCCATCTAACAAGGTCAAATATCAAAATGTTTTTATCTTTTTTTGTAATCTGTTAAAGATATAATTACATAAAAACTACCAGCATGTTACTATATGTGGATGAAAATGCGTCCCGAAGTGGAAGAGAGATGAAAACCTAACCTGCTCTTTTTCTTTTTTAATCAGTCAATGCTGTTTTAATATTCCAGATCGTAGCAACACTGAGAGGATAATCTAAAAACATAACAGCACGTGGGACATTACGATCAGACACGTCATATAGCAATAAAGTGATCGGATAGCTTTATGAGTGAAGGAGCGTGCTCTCTGCATCTTATCTGAATCACAGCGCGCAATTAGGTGAGTGGATGCCTGCAAATCATTACTGTTCAAAGTGAGACGCGACTAATAAAAACCGAGGCAACGAGCGCCAAACGAGCCCATCTGTTGAGAGAACAACTTTTAACCCCAGGGATCTAAACATTTATTACACTATTCTGTTGTAAAACACCGAAACTGCTACTTGAACTCCAGATTAAAAACAACTGGTTTTAATTCATATCTGCTAGATAGATAGTAACAAACTGATTGGGGATATTTATTGATTAGCCTGGGTGCAACACAAGCATCAGATAGGAGTTTCCTCAGCGCCTTATTCCCTAAGATATTTCTTTATACCTGCAGGTTGTATTATTTTTGCATTAGTCATTTTATAGGGAATATACTTCGAGAACTGCATTTGTATCTCGTGAAGTTGCTGCTATAATATGAATTACAGTGCTCAATACTGACTTTGGTTACTTTCTTTCTCACATTTGTGGTACTTTTTTCATTGTGTATCTCTATAATAGCTCACATCTCCTCTGTCCATTTATTGTCATCCCCCCTTTTTTTCGGAATGTCCTTTTTGATTTTAGCGATTTTTTTTGCACAGCACATGCTTTCCTAAAATGATAGGCCGATTATTAGATCCTAATTAATATTAATGAATATGGATTTAATGTAAGCAAGTCATTTGAGTTTGTAGGGACCACATTGAAAATAACCTAAACCCATCATCAGTATTCAACAAAGAAATCAGAGAAAGCTGCACAGTCACATGCAAACACACGCACGCGCGCGCGCGCACACACACACACACACACACACACACACACACACACACACAGACACAGACACAGACACACACACACACACACAGACAGACAAATTGAGTTGATCGAGGGAGTAAACATACCTGTAGCTGGAAATAGAGTACCAGAAAATGTAAACACCTATGTGGAGGGAGAAAGAGAGAGAAGGCAGAGGAGGGGAGTGAATCACACAGGCAATTACATGAAGAATAAACGCAGCCTACCTGGATGAAAGCAACGCGCAAATACGAAGCTTTTTGGCGACTTCTATTGGTAAGAATGCATGGTTTAATGTGCGAAAGGCAAACGGAGATGCGGAACACTTACAGGTATATGAACCTTGAAGGCAGCACAGACATCTTGACTCGCAGAAATACACCTGCTTCCACAGATTTAGAGCCCCAGGAAAGGTTGGCGAAATCGCCCCCCTCTCTCTCGCTTTCGCTCCCCCGCGCGTCCTTTACGCACACAACTCCGGGGGTAAGTAGGAGATTGAATCCCAGCGTAAGGATAGATCACTGGAGAGCAGCAGCAGAGTCACGGAGCGCAACATTAGGTGTTTCCTTGTTGGGGGGGAAGTATCCAGAAGATTTGGGGGGTTTTCTCATCTCAGTCTCCTCTGCTCCCCGATATCCCGCAACGTCTCCGTAAATCGGTGCCAAGCGTGGAAAGGATTCAAAATTCAACCTCTCAAAAAAAAAAAAAAATGTTCCCCTCGCTCAATACAATATCCTTCGAGTTTTGCGCACACAATCCAAATCCTGCTGCTCCAGAGATCACAGGCTCCTCAACTCCGTCCGTACCTGCGGGGGATTTTTACACCTTGCGTGGGTCATTTTATTCTACCAAGTGCTGCGGTGTTAAAAGTTAAAGCGCTGAATAATTAAACGCCTTTCTACCAGGAAAAACAAGTCGCTAAAAGTGGGCAAACAAACTTATCCAGGCAAACAGAAGAGTTGTGCTTTTTAAAAAAAGCAGTGTTGAAGAATCGCAGCGGATCCCTGGAGAGGTTTGGGGGTTGGTGATGGCGCAGCAGTGCCTGTCAGTGGTGTTTGTGCGTCTGCGGCTGGAGATTTGGGCACAGAGAGGCTTTTTTGTTGTTGGTGGGTGGAAACATGTCAGCGGTTTGCACCTGATAGGGTAATCTTGGAGAGACCATCAGCTTGCAGACTTTTTTTCTTCTCTCCTCTCGGAGGGCAAAGCGCGGCGCAAAGTAGATTAAGAACAAGAAGATACTGCTTTTTGAAATTAATAAAATGTATTTTTCCTGAAGAAAGTTTGGGAAATGATTTAATTGGTTTGCGAATATGGACAAAGACAACCTGATTTACAGGAGCTACGTCTAATTGGAGGCATGGGATGATAGAAATAAGCAAACAAAGTAGTTAATAAATTGTATTACACGATTTTTTTTAAATTACCTTAACTTTGTAAAACCACATTTTCAGTTTCTATTACTTTAAAGGCCTTTACAACAATGAACATATTGTTATTATGAGAGTGAAATATGAACATAGTTGCTGTGTGTAAAAACTCTCTCTCTCTCTGTTATTCGCGCTTTTTAAAGTGCCGCTGCTTTGTGGATTGGCCTCGGCTCTCCCAGACACCATTCAAATGCAGTTTGTTGTCGACCTCGATTTTTTTTTCCAATAATGTGCTATAACTTATCCCGCATTTAAATGAAAGAGAGGTGTGAATGTGTTTACGAGCTGGCAGCAGTAAAGCGAGCCCACATCCCCGCTGCCATTAAAAAAAAAAAAGAGGGTTCGCCTTTATTGTCCCATTAAAACTGGATCCTCGGCATTCCTGTCCCATTGATATTCAAAATGAATCTAAATGATTACATACAAAACTTCCCATGTTGGGGATTTCAAAGGGCCTCCTGTGGTGAGTTTAGCGGGGAATCAAAGGGAGTGTTTAACTAAGAGCTCCAGCTGCAGATCAACATCAGCAAACACAACCAAAAAAATAAACAAAAGAAATCATAATGTATCCGGAAAAGAATATGAATTTATGGCTTTTCTTTATGAAGACTTAATCTGAGTGTTTATGATTTACACTGACAAGTTAAATCGTTTGTGTTGTGAGCAAGTACAAATGTGGATAAAGTGGGTTGATGTGGGTTTACCAGTGATTCATGGCTGTCTGCCTAACAAGAAGGCTTGATCCTGTCAACCACAGTGCACTTTAATAAGCCCTGTAACACAACCGATGTATAATGTCATTTAAAGCATGACTAATTTTCCCTGCCTAAGGGAGGGAAATCACAGCAAAAAGACTTTGGCAAATAGTAATTATAGATAAAGATAATTTCTTTACAAATACAAGGTTTCGGTTGCCATTTGATCAAATGAGGCTTAGGTTAGCTGCAGTTCGCCACCGATCGAGATTTCTCTGAAAGTTCAAAACAAAAGCACCTGACAACTGATTTAAAGAAAGCAGCACGATAAACAGCAATTTACCACACTGACTGTGATGGAGCCAGCATCGTGGAGTCACTCATCGCCTCTTAAGCACATGTTTGTGACAAAACTTCTCGGAGCATGACTGTAAATCCACAACCGAGGAAAGAGCGCGCAGCAGCACGCTTAACGTGGCCACCTGGGAGTCACGAGGAGGAGGAAACGTATCTCTGCTCGTGGCAAAAAGGGACGATCACGGTACTTTTATCATTGTGTCAGTCCTAAGAGTATGGGAAATACACAATGGCTAAAAGCCAAATTTTTGATTGTTTCTGCCATGCACTTGTCTGGACATGTTGGCAGTTGGCCAATCAGGAGCCAGAGGGACAGATTTATTCTAGAAATGTAAACTAACATGTGGCTCAAAAGGAAGCAAAGTGGAGTAAAAAACACGTTCGTGCCCGAAAACTTAATCTGAATTCTAATGAAATTACTTTATTGGCTTTTTCTTGCAATGTCCACTTTGAGGACCCACTTGTCATTTTATCTTGTTAATATCTATCTCTGTTTAATCTTTAAGTTCTTGAGGTTTCTGCATGTGAGTGTTATATATATATATATTTCAATTTGGTTGAACTGACCCTTTAAAAAGGAAGAATCTTTCATGTGGATTGAAAACTACATTTTCACACCATCAGTCAAAAGAGTTGGTGCTCCGACAAATTGCCTGCTGACACTATATGGAAAAAGTGAAAAAGAAAAGAAAAGATAAAACACCAAGAATCAATCAAGTGCAGTATGCTGCTGGTCGAGCAATAACAAGAGTGAGCTTTATGAATGGGGAGAGCTGTTTCACAGTCCACTTTCTGAGGCTCGGAGGAGGAGGGAGGGGGGGCAGCAGCCACTCAGGAGTTGGGATAAGGTTACCCACAGAGATTAGCTGACAAGAGTGAGGGAGTGAGAAAAACAAGCAAGCAAGTTAAAGGTCTTAGTTTACCTGGCTTGCTGTGCTTGGCAGCCAATGAAAGTGCTTTTCGAACCACAGATTCAAACGGGGCCTGAAATGATCCTCCGCCGCCACATTTGCCAATTCTATTTCAATTTGGATGAAAACAAATGTAACTTTTAAGTCGAGAGGCCGCAAAGCAGTAGATGATGTTATTTAGACGACTCCGGGGCTCCTTTCAAGCCTTTTGAATTTGAACCCTCGCCGCGTCCCCGTGCAGCTATGCGTGTCTGTCCGCAGCGACGGGACTGTGGGAATGTCACCGAGGATATCTCATTGAAGCTAAAGGAGGAGGCATCTGAAGGCGGGCGAGCGCTCAGCGGTTCAAAGGGCCCTAGCAGGCATTTAGGGCTTGACAAAAGAACTTGGCAGATCAGTAAGTGAAGCCCAATGTACTACATTAGTGTCAGGACCCCCTCCGCGTCCCTCCCACTTTGCACTTTCATCTCTGACACGGACATATTGACTTAAAGGAAAGGAGGGGTGCCAGGGCCGCCGAGCAGGGGTGGGTAGTTGTGGTGTGTGTCGGAGAGGGTGTGTGTGTGTGTGTGTGTGTGTGTGTCCCATTCAATTCCCAAGGTGAGGCGATTGATGCCGAGGGGTGACCACTGACTCATATAAGCCACCCAGAAGCCCTTTTTTAACTGGAAGTCACAGGCCGACAAGCGTGTGAGACCTAAACGGGACGGCCCTCTTCCTCTCCTCTCACTGAAATCAGCCTCACCCCATTAGGATATGCTGACCCTACAACCCCTCCTCCCCCCCCCCTCTCCAAACACACATCCCTTTTCACACTGTCGGCTGTGCCCTTCTGCGGGCTACTGAAGTCCAGCGGCTAACATGGGTTTGGGTCGTAACGGGGTCGCGACACCTTGACATTGCGGAGGGTGACAGAGAGAGGAGCCAGAGGAGGGAGGGTGAAGCTACAGCCAGCTACCTCGGAGACCTTTCAAGTATCACCTGAAGGAGAGAAAAAAATAAAAAAAAGTGTTTGAGTAATTTGTCCCCCGTCACACGTTGTTTGCATGGAGTCATTAAGGGCCATTTAGGTTTTGCCTCGGAGGGAGGAAGCCAGAGAATTTGGGTGCGGGCGCTCTTTTTGGGAGGGGAGGGGGAGGCCGTGGGAGTGAAGGGTGAAAATGAAAGCGTAGCTCTTCGACAAATCATCTCTGAGCGCCGCACTGCATGCAGAACATATTAAACGTTCCCACTGAATTCGGTGGCCTGTTTGACATTAGTGACGTCTTCGCTCCCTCTCGTCCAGCGGGGAGTCGAGGGTTGTTGCTCTCTCGTTGCTAGTTGCTAACACGTGAAATAACTTTGTGACTGCATGCGTTTTGAAGACATCACTAAACCATTCTTGCTTGGACGAATTCTTTGGCCGTCGCTCAGTGCAGAGAAACTGCCAGAATGTGTCACAGTGCAGCAATTGAATAACAACCAGCCGACAGACCCCATGTGTTCTAGGTTTTTTGGCCCGTGGTTGACAGATAAATGTCAAGTCTCTTGGACGAGCAGCGGTAATCAAAAAGTCTTGCTTCTCACACTTTTGCCGAACAATGTGAGTGCCTTAATGACATAATAAGCCTTCAGAGTTGGGTGGACTGGCGGTGAAAGAGTGGGAAGTCAAATGATGTAAGTGTTTTTTTGTCAGCTCTTTAATTTGTTTTTCCTCCCTGAATTGAACGACCCCATAATTGTTTTCTTGGATTGCCATAATTACCCAATTAAGGGGCTGGTTGTTTGTAATGTGGCACAAAATTGCTCTGAGACTCACAAACTGGCCAGAAGGTTTGACTCATTCACACAAAATGTGCGATTATTTGACAGTTATTAAAACTACACCTAGCTGCGCTGCTGTGTTTCTGGTAAATGCATCTTCAGCCCTTGATGAATGGCCGTTTATAGATCTCATTAACGGCACAAAGGCTGACAGTACATTAAAAATCGGCTTAAAAACAGCTTTGAAAAGGTGGCGCTTTACAATCAAAAGGATGTCGAAGCCCACCAAGAGTGTGACCCGGACTCCCCCGCATAATTTGATGAGGACTTTGATTTTAAGTCATTACCTTCATGTTAGGGGTGAGAAGTACTAAGTGAGTGTTCAAAGGCGAAACCTGTCAGGCTAATGTTTATCTGATTACTGAGCTGTCTGGAAAGCACTTCCTCAGGTGCAACTGGTCTTTCGTGCGCTTGTTGTGGCAACACATGAGTTTGGTCTCATCTTGTGCAACTCTATCATATTCAGGAACATTTTAATGATAACAATGGCATTTGGAAAAATTGTGGGAGACCTGTATTGTTTAAGAAAACACATCATTCTATCTAATTACAACTTTTTGGAATTAATCTCATTCTCCCTTTTTGTTCAAAACTTACTTTGTATTTGTTATACCCATATTTCAGACTAAAGTGTGTGCTTTTAAAGCTAGATCCAGCAAGTTAGAGGCATTTCTATTAGAAAATAAGAAATAAGTCCTTCTAATCAATCACTTCCTGTTTGATGAAAAGCGTCCAAACCTTAGAACACAGCCTCATTAATAGGACTAATACATGGCATCTTGTTCAGGCAGAGTGAGGTGTTTTGCTTTACTGCTGGCCCACTTCTTGTTTAAGGCTAACATTAGCCACTCTGTGTGTGCTTTAAGGTTATAATGAGCATTGTACATGGAATTAAAGACAGAGGTTTCTCTTTTACAGCATCTGGACAGAGTGACAACACCAATCCAGAGCAATACGAGGAGTCAGTCGGCCCCCTGTTAAACTCCCGATGCTCTTCCTTACAATTTATCTTCAACAATAAGTCGCACTGGAGTGCAGCTGCTGCACAAAAGTCCTCTTTTTCCCAGTCACGAAAGGTCCCACAGCAGTTGGAGTGGAGTCCCTCCTTGAGCGGTCTCTGCTCTGGTAAAGCTAGCCTGAACCTGCAGTTCCACTCATCCTAATCGCTGAGCCCAATCCATTCCCCTGTCTAGCACCTCTTCAGAGGCCGCTCGCCCCTTTGTTCTGACAATACACAAACGACCATTCAAATAGGGGGACTCTGTAATCAGTGAAATACTAGCCTCTGGGCTTTGTAGAATAGAAAAAAGGGAGGGAGAGAGAGAGAGCAACATAGAAAGAGAGGAGAGAGAGAGAGAGAGAGAGAGAGAGAGAAAATCCATCCATGACCAATCAACTCTAACTACCTGTCTGGCTTTTTAGCTGCAGATGTTATTTGGAAAAAGAGGGGAAAAAATGTGCCCGTTCCAGATGTAAGATGTACAAAGGGAAGGCAGGCTGGTACCTCCACCCACCGAGAAAAGGGCTGGACCGGTCCACACCCATCCAGCTTTTGATATGGCTGATGTTTTTGCTCTTGCTTACGCCATTTCCTTCAAAGAACTATGTGATGCATTGCGTCACCTTACACTAAATTTAGACAGTATGAGCGATAAAATAAAATATGATTGATGCAGTCTCACCGTCGAAGCATGCCGAGATCTTACTGGATCATTTGGGGCTGAACTTCACCTGGGAATGTTTCTGGATCATTTATTCCTATAATATTCATATGAATGGGTTTATAGTGGGTAGAATCCATCTCTTTTAATGATACACGATGTTTTAAAAAGGCTTTGTTTGTTTGTGATTAGAAATTCAGAGCAATGTCTTTTTCATTCATAAACCTTGAAATGATATTTCCTATTTGGATCAGAGGTCTTAAGAAAACGGATCAACGGTTTGCTTTGTATTGTGTACGTGTGCTTTTCTTTAAGCTCATCTAGAGCTACTTATAAGTCCAACCGTAGAACAAGCTTCAAGTCATGCATTACAATGCAATAGCTTGAAAAAGTAGTTTGCCAGGTCTAAGGTATCTTGAGTGTCTGCATTTATTAGGTGCGCGGTGACTGTCGCTCTTAACGAGGGTGGAATAGTTGTACTTGTGTATTTGGTTCAATTAGTTTCACTCTGCACCACAATAAACAAACCCTGGACTGTAAACAAAACTCACATGGGTCAGTCATGCAGGTTGTTTATTGTACAGAGCTTTGGTCACCCAACAGGGTGCTGTCGTCTGCAAAGAAACAGGTTTTTTGTTTTTAAATCTGTTATTTTGTTCCCAAAAGAATAAAACATTTTGATGTAGTTTATGTTAAGGGGACCCTATTTTCACGTTTCTTTTGTTTGTTATAAGTGTATAATGAGGACAACAATTTTTGAAATTTGTCAGGTATTGAGCGAGAGCGCTGCAGCCCCTAAACGGGCTACAATCCAGTTGCACACAGTCAATGTACGTCCACTAAAAGTATTTGTTTTTCGCCACTGACAGGCAGATTGTTATCATAAGTGTCTGACAACATTACGGAAACAGAGAAATAAATGTTTTCTTTACCTTTCGCTTGATCCGGTCTTTTTGTTAGATTTGTCTAACCAAGTCCCGCTCAAGGAGAAGTCTCCTTCTGAAATATGACTGGAATCATATTTCAAAACACATCCGAATGTGGTTTGAATCCAATTTGCAAAAATCCCCAAAAGTGGATTTGGGCTGGCGGCCTGAACAAGGACT